ATTCCGTTCTTTTTTTTTCAAAAAAAAAAAACGGCATTTTTTTTCTGTTTGCAACCTACTCCTACTCTGAGTTATAAAGACCCTTCTTTTTTGATTCTCTGCAGTCCGAGCACCGAAGGTTCACATTTGCTTTCTGCATCACCTTCGGTACTCAGTGGGATTGGACAGACTTTTTCCGAATTTTAAAGTTTTGTTTTTCTTCTTTTTGATTAGGAAACTGTTCAAATTGGGCTCTGTCCGATCCTTCCCACTTGTCTACTTCCTGCCTATTCCTCCCCCTCCAGTCCGGGTACTGGGCCAGTCCATCAGATTGGCCCTCGGGTGACTCTTCCGACTGCGGGCACAGCAGTGCATGACACTGCTCACTCGATCACAGACCAAGGCCATGGACCGGAAGGCGGGAGAATCCCTCCTGGCCTATGAGGAACGCCTGGCGGCATTCATTCAGGAGGCCAACGATAGGGCCGCCGCCGCGGCCAAGGAACGTAATCGGCTCAAACAAGAGGAGGAGGCCAAGCGACAGAAGGAGGAACAGGACCGACTTCGTCAAGAAGAGGCAGACCTGCAGGGTGGCAGCCGAACACCGGTCACGCCAGCGGGAACGACTGTTCACGTGGGAGACCGTGATGGGCGATGAGGCCGCACATTGGGTGGAAGTGACATCTGCAGACGGGGCCCCGGAGACTGAGAAAGGGCTGTCAGCCCTTGCGCAGGTCTCCCACGACCTCGTGGCCACCTGCGCTCTGCAGCAGGAGGAAATCCTTCACCTGCAGCAGATAGTGGACCAGATGCTCGCACGGCTGCAGGCGTTGGAGAAACAGCCAGCTGTTGTAGCAGCCGCAGGGCCTTCCACCCTTACCACCCGTGTGCAAGTTTTGGAGGATGACGTCAGCAACATCAAGCGTGTGCATCAGGACTTCCGGACGTCGCATCAAGCAAGGAACTTGCAGTTGGAGACGCAGGTCCAGGCTGCTGCCACCGTGACGCCCGCCGCCGCATCCTCCCGGCGCCCACCCAAGCTGGATGACATTCTCGTCTTTTGCGATCAGTCCAAGACGGAACCGATCCCGTGGTGGCGCCAGTTTACTCTCAGGCTCGACATGCACCATGTCCCGAACAACGATTGACATCCGCGCTTGTACCACCGATCTGGTGGTGCGTGTCAAGCATGGCTGGACAACATCTTGACCAGCCACAGCGTAGCAGTGTCGGAACTGCACACCAAGCTCACTTGGCAGGAGTTGACCGACGCCTGGCACAAGCGATTCCAAGTGGAGCCGCYCGACCTGMAAGCGATGGACAAGCTCAACAAGCTCCATCAGAACACGCTGCTCAGTCAGGACTGGATTACCGAGTTCCAAAGACTCGCCTCCACACCTGACCTGCCGCTCGCATTCCGCGCCATCGAGCACTGGTTTATCATGCGCTCGTGTCCAGCTCTGCAAAACGCGCTGACGCAGATTGCAAAGACACTCGAGACATCTGACAAGCTTTTCAGCACAGCGTCACAGATCATTCTCACGAATATAGAAGCCCGCAACGCCGGCCGATCTTCCGCGACGACGAGCGGCACCCAGCCCAAGCCAAAGGTGGCTTGCATTACTTCTACCAAGGCTGCAACACCAAACGAGGGTGAAGTGTTGGCAGCTGCCCGGGATGGTGGCCGGCCGCGCAACAACCACGGCCGCGACAAGACGAAGACTCAGTCCACCTCTACACCGAGCACCGGATCAGCCGCCGACGAACCTTGGGCACAATAAGGACTCTCGGCGAATTCTTATCGCATGAGACTCAAGTACCGTTACTGCCTTTGGTGCAACAGCACCATCCACGATGCTGCACATTGCCCCACCAAAGGGAAACCCCGTCAGGGAAAGTAGGCGCCGCCGAGGGTGACTCGACACCTCCCTCGACGCCATCGGAA